GAGAGAGAGAGAGAGAGAGACAAAACAAACACGTCAGGCCTGCCGCGTCAGGTGTGTCAGACAAAAGAAAAGAAAACTAAAAACAATAAACAAAAATCACCGCAACTCGGAAACCCCCACTCGATGGCCACTACAGGCTACTTTAAAGGATTCGAACGCCCGACCTCTTTTCCAAAAGTAACGATAAAAGAAAGCAAAACTCAAAAAACAAAACGAAACGCTCGCCCGAAACTAAACAAACGCGTCAGGCGCGTCAGAATTTTACATCGGACGTCTCACGATTCACGATGAAAACGTCAGAATTTTACATCGGACGTCTCACACTAAGCGATGCAAAAAACACTAACGTGGACCATCGCAGAAGCGAGAGTCGCCCCGCGGCCTACTAAGTTTTAGTAGGGTTATTAGATGCTCGCACACCATGGATTGATTGCATATCGGGATATCCCAGCAACATCCCAACACAACCAAGCACAAGCCAGTAATGAACGAGATTGGGATCCCAACAACGTCCCAAAACAACTAACATAGGGTCTCACTCCACTACCCTAGACTCACGATAACTTGAGAGTTCGGCCTAGGTCCACTAACTCTAGACTCGAACTCACGAAACCCATGAAACTCACGAAACTTCTAGTAGTCAGAAAGTACTCTCTCGAGGAACTCAGGAAACTTCTAGAGTGCACAGCCTGCGAGCGGCCGTTGTTCTAGGCTGGCCCACCGCCGTTGTTCTAGGGTGGCCCACCGTACCCCTGAAGCTGCCTCGTTCTTTGAGAGCCCACCTCGAGTTGAGGTGGACAAAGGAGTAGTTAAGGAAAGGAAGGTGCCATGTAGCTGTGTCCCATAGTAAGTAGCCTTGAAATTCGAGAGTCGGTGGTTCTGGAGCAAGTGGAGCGAGGTAGGGAAAATTTTCGAGAGTCGCGAGGGTCTGACAGCTCTCGAACTACTGTTGAAATTTTTCGAGAGTCGAGAGTAGTCGAGCGAGACCCATAGGGCCATAGGGCCTCGGGTCTTGCTCCACCACCACTCAGTGCAATGTGCAAAAGAAGCGAACGAGTCTTCCACTAGGGCATGGAAAGATGCACTGCCATAATTTTTGTCTTTTGTGCATGTGGTGAGTGCTGGAGCGAGCCCCATTATCTACTACTTTTTGCAAACAGCCGAGACAGCTGAACAGGATTGGGAAAGCCGGTGCCTTGAAAGAGAGAGAGAATCGAGACCTCTGGCAACAACAATACCATGCATGATCAACAAGGAATGCGGAATACACGCATGGTATGCGGCGAACAAAGAATGATACCTCGTAAAACAAACAAACAAAAAAAAAAGAAAGATGCCTTGTCGTTCGCCTTCATACTTACACTGAAGATAGGAGCGAATGACGTGCATGACGTCGTTAGCAAGCTTCGCCCATGTGGTTCTACTGCCATCTCATGTGCTGGCATGCCTGACAAAGGCGCCGAGCAAAACCTGTATCCATCCCATCACAAAGGGAGGGAGGGAAGGAGGGAGGGTGGGAGGGTGGGAGGGTGGGAGGGTGGGAGGGAAGGAGGGAAGGAGGGAAGGAGGGACGGAGAGACAGAGGGGGACAAGCAGGGAGGGAGGGAGGGAGGGAGAGAGAGTGGCAGATATGTAGGCCACACAAGTCCATCAACAGATCATTAGAACCAGATGAGGGTGGGAGGGGAACTGGAAACTGGCCAGAGCTGACGGATCTCATTCCAAGTAACAAATGCAGCACACGAACAAAACAGCACAAGCGTGGGGAGGGGGAAAAGAACAAAAAAAATAATGATAAAGAAAACAGGAAAAAAAAAAACCAGCACAAGCATGAGCAAGAACAGTTTTAGACATAAGATAGACGACACTTGGACTATAGGACAGGGACTATAGTCCCGTTTCAATAGGGTAATGAACTCCCAACATTGTAGAACTTGGCTGGTGACAACGTAACCTATAGGACAGGGACTATAGTCCTGTTTCAACAGGGTGATAAACTCCCAACATTGTGAAGTTGTGAACTCTTTAGTTTAAATAAAAATGCTGCAATCCGGTATCCTTCTTCAGCTATAGGACCGTATAGGTATAGCTGAAGTTCAGCTTCAGCTTTTTTTGTAGCTAAAGGTAGAATCAGTAACTGGACTCGTGGGCAAGCACTGGAGAAGAACCAGCAGACACAACGGACCTTTCTATTGTCACAGATCTATCAACTGAAAGAGCACAATTCGCAAACAAACGAGGAAAAGAGAAGAGGGAACGAGGCACAATGAAAGCATTCCTTTTAACATTTTCCGTGCACTTCTTTCTTTCGTCGTGCTTTTGGCTTTCTTCCTAGCTCAGCTGGTAGGTACCACCTCTCAACATACCCTTGTCCCTTTACTCCCCATCCAACCGCTTGTCTGCACCCTCCCCCCCCAACACCCC